CATAATTCAAAAGGTTTGTGGTAGGAAGTACTGCAAGCAAGGCTAAACTCAGTAGTTTAAGGCAATCAAGGATTAAGTTTCTCTCAACATATTGGCTCTATTTTCCATCATATTGACACTCTCCTAACAACTTCTTTTTATGGCTACAGAATGGTTGTCAGGAGCAGTAAGACGATATACATTTTTTAAATTCAACTACAATAACTAAAGGAGGGGTTCTTTCTATCCAATCATCAAATAAAGGTCTGCACTTCACTCTGATTGAACTAAATTAGATAACTTAATCACAGTAGCCAGGAAATTGGTTTAGGCTTAGGTCAGTATCCATCCCTGAATCAATCACTGTGATAAAGAGGATGGATTTGTGAAAATCAGTTTAATGCCAATCTCTGGAGGTAAGGGATGGTAGTACCATCCAAACGGCAGTACAATGCTATGTAACACAAACAGGATGGGATGGATGCTCGGGAGGCAACTAACGGTATTAGTTGTACGAAGCCAAACCACAGTCAGAGGGTTCCCCTATGAACATGGAATCAGAAGAAACCCCAATGTACAAATGTTTAATGCCATCACGATAAGCAGCAGGATTCACCCCACTCTCTATAGGAGTTTCCTTGCCCAAGGTTCTAGAAAGTGATTTACTTCTGATTCTATCAATGCACATTAAGAATGAATAGGACAAAAAGAGAAATACTGCCTAATTCCACTTATATGAGGTTCCTAGGATAATCAAATTATAGAGACAGAAAGTAGAGTGGTGGGGCTGTATAGAGTGAGAATAGGGGAGTTATCATTTAAGGGGCACAGAATTTCAGTTTGCGATATGAAAAGAATTCTGAAAACAGATGGTGGTGATGGTTGCACAACAATATGGATATACCTAATACCACAGAATGTACACTTGAAATGGCAAAAAAATGGTGACTATTGTGTGTTGTTTTTTTGAAAGAAGAATGAGTGGATCAATCAGATGAGGTAAGGGCATACCTTGCAGGCCTTGGAGCTGACTTTTGGTATCTCACTCTATCTGGTAAAGTGCTCTGTGCTTGTCTTTTAGTCAAGTTATGATTGAACAGGTCTTCCTTTTGTGTTTCAGAAGAGACATGATCACACACCACAATGACACCCAGCGAATAGACCACATTTGGACTCAAAGAACAGGATATAGGCAGTGCCCTAGTCCAGTGGTCAGCAAACCGAGACTTGTGAGCCACATGTGGCTCTTTGGCCCCTTGACTGTGGCTCTTCCACAAAATACCACGGCCTGGACGAGTCTATTTTGAAGAAATGGCATTAGAAGAAGTTTAAGTTTAAAAATTTTGGCTCTCAAAAGAAATTTCAATCATTGTACTGTTGATATTTGGCTCTGTAGACTAATGAGTTTGCCGACCACTACCTTAGTCTCTCACCACCCCATGGCTTAGGCTATGTCCACAGCTGGAGGCAATTTAAGTTGTGCTCTAGAAGAGAGACCCTCTAGTGCCCTGCCACTCATAGGTTTGTAGCTGGGAGGTGACAGTGATCACCTGATTTAGTTGCTATAAAAGGAGGCCCAGCCTTGACTGTGTGAAGAAACGTTCCATTCTCTGGGCCAATCTCCTAGGAAGTTTGCATACCAGTAGAACATGTGGCTCTCTCTGCAGGGCCAGCTCCTGATGGAGAGGAAATTGCTAGAGGCATCCACAGAGAAGCTGACTTGTCTCTCCTCATCATCTTACATCCACATGCTTCCAGGAAGCTTCACTATGGTCCCTAAGTACTGATTGAAAACACTGATTGTGTTTCAGGAAAAACCAATAGGACAGAGGAAAATGCGTCATTGGTAGTGACAGTTGCACTTCCAGGGGCATGGGGAAAGAGCTGGTGGAGTTAGAGCTGGTAAAGGATGCAGGGATGTCCCGGGTGTGGGTGCCTGATAAGGATTATAAACCACACAAAACTGTGGCTAGGTTTCAGTCATCTTAGCATGAGTATAGTTGCTTTGATTTCTCTGTGCCATGCAGATCTGATAACGGAACTCTAAACTCCACATGAGCACATACTCAGCTGATATGGCACAACAGCGACCATAGATATACCTCCCAAAGAATACGTCTAATGCTTACAGCTAAAGAATAAATAGTTAACTGACTTTTTAATAATTCTCTTAGGCTTAAATGCCCCAGGATCTATCGGCCAATTAGCATTTCCTCAGTGAAGGAGCAAGTACCCAGAGGGATGCAAACATTAGCTAGTGATGATTTAGTATTTTATTTAGGCTTTGTAGTGAGTGAGAAACTTAACACACTAATCTTATTAGGATTATATATTATTGTTTTTGACTTGGTAATAGTGTTTGAGAATGTATTAAGCATAGGATATTGGAGTAAATACTCTACATATTGATACATAGTCCTTCTAACCCTTTAAACACTGTAAGTTCAATATCATTTCCACTTAACAGATGAAGAAATCAAAGCTCAAAGTGGTTAGTAACTTGTCCAGGATCACACAGTTAAGAAGTAGTAGATCTGCGTGGCTGGTGTGGCTCAATTCTTGAGCAAGGTATATGCCTGGGTTGCAGGCTTGATGCCCGGGTTGCAGACTCAAGTACTGGTGTAGGGCATACAGGAGACAGCTATTGAATGCACTCAAAACAAGTAATAGAAAATATGATTCTCTCTTGTCATTGATCTCTCTCTTTCTCTCTCTCTCTCTCTCTCTCTCTCTCTCTCTCTCTCTCTCTCTCTCTCTCTCCCCTTCTCCCTTCCTCTCAGAAACCAATAAAAAAAATATTTAAAAATAGAAATAGTAGAGCCCAGCCAGCATGGCTCAGTGGTTGAGCATCAACCTATGAACCAGGAGGTCATAGTTTGATTCCTGGTCAGGGCATATGCCCTAAACGTGAGCTTGATCCCAGTGTGGGGTCTGCAGGAGGCAGCCAATCAATAATTCTCACTCATCATTGATGTTTCTACCTCTCTCTCCCTCTCCCTTTCTCTCTGAAATAAATAAAACTTTTTTTTTTTAAAGAAAGAAATAGTAGATCTGTGATTCAAACTCAGATCTGTCTGAGCCAAGAAACCCCTAGAATAGAATTAATCATCATGGTTAAATGGGCCTAGCTCTCTGCTGGATCAATGCAGCTTTGGTAGACATTCTGCACTTTGAGTACTCTGCTCAAGAAGCATCTAACAAAGCCATGCTTTGTTAAATTTTATCCTTTAGGCAAAATAAGTGCCAAAACTTGACGTTCTATAATACACACTGTGACTGGTATAGGCTGTCCCGTCTGAAGAGGGAATGGAAACTGCATTCCTGAGTAATCAGTGAATTCCCTTGTTTCCAACCTTTGCTTTTGAAGCTTCCTTCAAAGGATTGTTGCTTGAATAGCAAGATGTTAAAGCAAGGATTAGCACCCAGACTTAAATTCAAATTATACCTCTTAATAACTGGTTACTATTTCCCTAAGCCTTATTTTTTCTCATCAGTAAAATGGTCATCATAATAATGTAAGATTATTAACTCCTTTTTAATATTATCCATTTGAATAAGCATGTCATTGTGGTTTTAGTTTTCCTTTCTCTAATGACTGTGTCTTCTTTGGAAAATTATCTGTTGAGCTCTTTTACCCATTTTTTAAAAAATGGAGTCATTAATCTTCTCAGTATTAAGTTTTGAGAGTTTTTGAAAAATAACTTCTGGATACATACTAATTGTAGGGGAGGGTGCAGAACAAGTGGCAGTCTTCAACTTTGTTGGTGATCGTGTAAAATGGTACAACCACTTTGCAAAACTGCTTGGCAGTTTCTGAAACAGTTAAATATACATCTACAACATGGCCCAGCCATTCTGTTTCTAAGTAAACAAACAAACAATCAAAAAAACATATTTTCATAAGACAAAGACTTTTGCATAAATTTTCATAGCAGCTTTGTGGATAATAGCCCCAAACTAGAACCAACCCCAATGTCCATGAATAAGTAAATGGATAAACACACTGTGGTAAATCCACACAATGAAATATCATTCATCCGTAAAAATGAATGAAGTACTGATACATGCTGTAACATGGATGAATCTCAAAATAATTATGCTAAGTGAAAGAAGTCAGACAAGAAAGAGTACATATGGTATGATCCATGTATAGACAGTTCTACAAAGTGCAAAGTAATCTATCGTGACAGAAGCAAATCAGTGATTGCATAGGGACAAGAACAGGGGTATGGGAGTTGGGGGAAATACAAAAGGCACATGAAAACCTTCATTGTTTTCCTCATGGTGATAGTTTGCTGGAGAGAGATAGAGATTGACATAGAGACTGTTTCTCTGTTGCATTATTGATGTTTCTGTCTCTCTATCCTTCTCCCTTTTTTTTTGTAAAATCTAAATATGTGTGGTTTGTTAGCTCCCGGCATTCTCCTTGACTTGGAATTGCCCCTGATATACCAGAGGGGCCGCAGCAGTCAGGCCTGTACCACAAGATCCTGCCTTCCTAGCCAGAGCTGGTCCATCTGAGGGCAGGTCACTAAAGGTCAGAAATACAAATGAATGCCAGAGTTCTAGAGAAAAGCTCCCTATTTTTCTGCTTCTGAGATCCTGAAGTTGCCCGGCTCCAGCCTGTCTGAAGATAGTTGTTTTAATTCTCAGAGACTTTAGTGTCCTAACAATAAATTCCTTTTATGTTAGCTGGTTGGAATTGGCTTATGTCCTCTGCTACCCTGGGGAAGAAATGAAGTTGACATTCACCTCATTGCATTGATATCCCTTAAGCTTTCTATTATAGATAGCCACACTGTTATTTAAAAAAAATAAGTGTTCGACGTGATCTGTGGGTCATTCGTCCACCCTTTCATTTAACAAATTTCATCTGATGGCACAATATGTGTCAAGCACTGTACCTGACATTGCCACATCTTGTTCAAATTATACAACAGCACGTATAAAGTTCTCATATTCACAGGTGAGAAACCTCGAGTTCAGAGGGGGTTCAGTTATTTGTTTAAAAGTTAGGGGAGAGAGCGAGCCCGTAGCCCACGGGAGGAGGAAGCTATAGAAGCTGACCGCGATCCACTGCAGGTCTTCAGGTCCTTTGGTACAGCAGATATCAAGGCTAAGAGAGGAAACCTGCTTCTGATCCCTGAAGAAAGAAGCAGAAAAAAAACTCAACATGGAAAGTGTCCCCAAGGAATGCAAAGAAGGTGAGCAGGCTCCAGTGCAGAATGAAGAAGAAGCCCACCCCTTGGCAGGTGGTGAAGTCCAGGAGCCTGGAGGAAACATTAGAGAGGGTGGGGCTCCACCTGCCCAGGATGTTAGAGAGGATGTGCCCAATGGGCTTGCCAATAACATGGATATGGTAAATGGAGATGCAGATGATATGGAATGGTTCACAGAGGAGATGAGAGAGCTAAGGAGGAAAATTAGAGAGCTTCAGTTGAGGTACAGACTGTGCATTCTCATAGGCGATCCCCCTCACCATGACCATCATGATGAGTTTTGCCTTATGCCCTGAATGCTGAGGTTAAGAATAATAACGCGCCCCCCCCCGCCCCCCCCCCCCCCCCCTCCGCTCCCGACACTTGTATTTTTTGATGTACCTATTATGGTGAATCTTTGGTGTCCTTTTATTTTTCTGATTGGACATTTCATTTTTACTTAGTCTGTAACTTTTTCTGTCAGCAGGAGAGTTTCATTAACTTGCATGGAAAATGCTTACTAAATATCACAAAGTTAATAAAGCAGTTTAAAAAGTAAAAAATAAAAATAAATAAATAAAATGAAAGTTACGGAAAATAATGAACATAAATTGGTGAACAGAAACAGATCTGGACCGGGAGCTGCCGGGCCCGGAGTAGCCGGGCCTAGAGCAGCGGGGTCCGGAGCAGCCAGGCGTGAAGCAGCAGCAGCCAGGCCTGGAACAGCTCACTGCTCGCCTGCCCATGCCCCAGGGCTGCTTCTCAGACATGGCTGGAAACTTTGGGGGGAACTTGAGGGTCTGCTGAATCAAGTGATGAAGGCTTAGATCTGGATGTGTTGAGTTATTATAGCGCTGGGGTGTTGATCTGTGAGTGCCTTGTGTGGAGACTGGATGAGGTTGGTTGATCTATTTGGAAGTGTTTTTTGTGTGAAGTGTATCCTTGGGCACGTGGAGGTATTATTGATTTGAGAAAATACTAAGTAATTGATTTACTATCTGAAAAATTTAAAGTTCTGAAAGTTTAAGGTCTCTTGCCAAAAAGAGGTTTTAAAGGACGAGGCTGCATTTTCTCCTTAATTTCAATGGAGAAAGGGAGGACAAGCCCTTCCCACCCAGAACAGGTAATCCAATTCCAGCCAGCAGCTATCTTTAAACAATGTGTTCATTGTCATTTGAATGGCTACGCCTTTTGATAGCCTAAGGCAAGTTTACATGTAAACAAGTTTGCTTCTCAGTTCCCAGGGCAGAAAAAACAAGGTTTAAAATTATTAGATTTTAAAATTTATTCTTAAAAATATAAAAGTTTATTAATTAAAAAAAACCAAGAAAATTTAAAAACCTGATGAACAATATTAACTGTTGATTATAATAGAATCAGAGATAAGGGAGGGGAGTGGACTGACAATTCTTGGGGGGAAAGGGGAGTGGTGGATGCGGGAAGAGACTGAACATAAACTGTGCAGCTATGGATGAGGACAATGGGGGATGAGGAAAGGGCAGAGGGTGGGGTGGGAACCTGGTGGAGGGGAGAAGAAATGAGGAACCTTTGTAATAATATGAACGATAAAGATTGATTAAAAAAAAAGAAGAAGAAGAAACAGAAACAGACCTGGAGACAGAGAAGCTGCGATCAGACAGTCTGGCCACAGAGGGAAGGTAGGGGAGGGAAGGAGCAAAGGGGAGATATGAACCAAAGTACTTGTGTGCATACATATAAGCCTAATCAGAGGTCGTAGACATCAAGGAGTGGGCATACATGGGGAGGGGTTTGGGATGGGAATGGGGGGATGAGGACAATTATGCGACACCATAATCAATAAAGAAATTAAGAAAAATAAATAAAATAAAATAAAATAAAATAAAATAAAATAAAATAAAATAAAAGTTGGAGTTCCATTGGATTCTGCCTCTCGAACACCAGAGGTCACACTTTCCCATTACTCAGGCTCTGTTCCCCGGAGGTGGTAAGCCCCAGCATCAGCAGGGAGCTCTCCGTGCCAGTGCTGTGGCCTGAAGCCTGGGGAGCCAGCAGCCAAGATGTTCCCTGGCCACTCTCACAGTCAACAGCATTGGCAGCTCAGGGGCTTGTCCCTGTAGGACTTAGTGTCCTGGGAGCAGCTGAATTAACTGTTCTAGAAGGATGGACAATCAGGGGATCCTTTTTCCCTGGTGTTGATGTCTGCTGCCTATGGACTCCTCAGTGACAAATGAGCAGCAAAATCCTGAAAGTAAGAATGGTCAACTGGTCGACAACAACCACAGCAAATGCTCAAGCAACGCCAATCAGAAGACAATGGGGCTGGAATGTCCTTCCTGAGGATGTGGAGCACCTATAAAAGGCTCAGGGACGAGGCTGTGTTTTTACACGGTTGCTGGAAACACCCCTAGTGACTTCAGTCTTCTGGCTCAGGTTAAAGGCAGAGACCTCACCCTGCTTTCTCTTCCCCCAGGAACGAAGTCAACCACAGCAGGAGGAGATTTTCATCTTCAGTTGCACAAAATTCAGTCTAGTTGAAATGTGTTACTCTTGAACCAGAAATGATAATAAAAGGGGGAAATCACTAGATTGTCACATTATCTATTCTTCCTTGTGATCCTCCTGCAGAAATATGAGGACTGCTCAGAGCTCCTATGCGCTTACACTCATCACTGTTTTGCTTATGAGAACAATGAGAACCAGCATTCAGTAAGCTGGCAGTGTTGGCTTAAACTATATCCATGTGATAAAACCCACGTACACATTAAACATTTCCAAACACTAATTCATAGAAAGGGGTAATGTTTATGACTTGTTAAATGCTAAAAAGAGAGTGCAAAAAGAAGTCTGCAATCTGAACCTAAAATGTGTGTGGTGTGTGTTTATTTGAGTGTGTTAGGGAGAGCATATACCAAAATAATAACAACTGTGACCTGAGTATGAGGAAAGAAATGCTTTCCCTCTGACTTTTATGTCTCATTGATTATTAGAACGCTGTTAGCCTAAATGTAATGTGGCATTTCAGGCTGGATCCTGGAACAGAAAAAGAATATTGATGGAAAAACCTGGGAAATCTGAATAAAGTCTACAGCTTGGTTAATGATAATTTACCGATGGTCTTATCTTAGTCTGATCATTGCACCACGGTAATGTAACTTGTTAATATTAAGGGAAGCTGAGAGTTTATTATGGAAACTCTGTACTAACACTGTAACTCTTCTAGAAATATAAAATCATTTTTCAAGATAAAATGTTTTACAAAATACATATATGGCAAGCCACACTAGGAACCATAATGGCAGCAAGCCCCTGAGCTTTGTTAAGGCTGCATCATTTATCATGCATAAGCTCTTTATTTTCTGGATGCATCTTATAGCTCCTCTTAGCTTATGGACCAGCTCTATCCTGGGCTTCCCTAGTTTCCCCAGACAAGACACTTACAGCAGTGCCGGGAGAAGGTTGGCAATCATGATCAGCAGTCATCCTGAGAAAGAAGACATTAAAAGAATCCCCCCCAAATTAAAAAAGAATCCCCAAAAATCTATTGTGTTGCTTTTCTCCTTTTTGTAAGTGCTTATGGCTTATGTCCAAAGGCATTTTGAATGGGTGATGAAACACATTCACAAATTAATTAGTTTGAACCATATGAAATTGCAGTTTTAGGCCCAAGATATCGAATATTTGCACTCAAACAGTTCCCCTTAAGTAATGAGTATATTATGTTATCATTGAAGGCGGGCCTCAGAGGCATCGCCTTACAAGTAACAGTATTCACTTCACTGCAGTTCATTTTCACCAGCTCCTTTTCAGTAGGGTTTGAAGTTCTCAACTCACATTTTCCTCCTTCCTCAAAAATTGCATAAACAATAAAGCTTTACCCAGTAATATGGACTAATTTCTAAAATACCAATTCAAAAATCAGATGTCATGACCACTGATGTGTCTCAGTTGATTAGGAGGAGTGTAGCAAGTAATTGCTTAATATTTTAAAAAGTATAACTGATTTATCTTCTGCTTTTTAATATACATTAGAACAGATTTCAGGTAACCCTTCTAACAGGCTTGCAAGCACACTCACTCACTCACTCACTTCCAAAGTGATGTAGGAACAGTCAGGGCTCAGGAACCACACCCAACACCAGTGTGCTCACAGCGTCAACAGAGCTGCAGCCTGCACACTGCAGGCAAAGGCAGGGTGAGAACCAGCATTAAAATGGCTCTGCTCTCTCATCATCGATGTTTCTCTCTCCTTATTCCTCTCCCTTCCTCTCTGAAACCAATATAAAACATATCTTTTTAAAGAAAAATAGCTCTGAACATGTTCTGAATTCAGAGCACAAGGTTACGTTATAGAACCACACGTAAGAAATTTATTTGAAAGGTATATGCACCCTGACATCTAGAAGGATTCCTCTTGGGTTATGGCCATGGTCATTTAAAGCAGTGCTTTTCATTAAGGCATGCTTCTAAAAAAAAAATACAACCTCCCTATTTATTATTTGTACAAAAATTCTGCCTGAGTGCCTACTGTGTGCCAGGAAGCATTTACTACCGAAAGCAATAAGACAGATGCTGTCTTTAAGCACAAAAAATTAGTTGTGAAAACAAACAATAAGTCAGACAAACACAGAAGAATTGTAAAGAGTGCAAATAGTCCTGAAATAAAAGAAGAGGCTCCGGATGAGGGGGTAGGGTGGAAGGGTGGGCAGAGTTACACAGGGAGAGCAGGAAAGGAGGCAACTACACTGCAGGTGAAACCTGCAGGACCAGAAGAGGGCAGCCATGCAAAGAACAGGAGATGGTGTATGAGGCAAACAAAGTTCCTGAGGTTAGAAAATAAAAGCTCATGCCAATTTGCAGCACCATGTCACATGATTCCCCTCTGGTAGTTAGCAGCCCAAGCAAAGTACATGGAAGGCATATTTTGGATTGCCACAGAATTTGGGAATTAGCAGTCAATGTCACTGAAGGTCTAGAAGGTGGAGAATATGAAAATGTTACCATTCCCCAAGAGATCAGAGACACATCATTTACCCAAGCAGAACTTTTTCTTTTCATTCCTATGCCTTCCTGGCAGAGATCTGAATGTGTCTGATCCATCACAGAGACATGGAGACACTCAGAACTGTCGAGCAGATTCCACTAAAGCTGGAGGAGTCTGGAATAGAAGTAAAAGTTCATATCATTGGGAAAATGTCATGTCTTAGAAGACAGTCATCATCTATTCAGCAGCCAATGGAGCCCAAGGCAGCACTCTTTTCAGTAGTTTCCTATAATTCCATCCCCCAAAGCGGGAAATATTGCAAAATCTGTGATAACTTGCCATGTCTTCGTATTATCTACCATTAACATAAATCAAGCCTTCGTGTTTGTA